TGGCACTATCAAGAAAGCGAAGCTTCATGCCACTCCCTCATGAAGTCTCACTGGCTGAATATAAGGGAACGCACGACTGTATCGGTTCCAATCTGGATATCCAGTGGCGTCATGCGCCAATCAGCAGAATCACTGAGAGGAAGATCGAAAATCATTGATGTCTCGATCAAGGGGGCCCACATGAAGCAGATCGATGACATGGCACTAAAAAACAACAGGGCCAAAACCACCTTTATTCAGGCCAAGCCCGCAACCTCCATGCCGCCGTCCGGCAACAGAGGAGAAGACGAACACCGTTGACCCACCGGTCTTCCGGCATAGATGTGGCACACAGTGGAACCCGATCTGGGAAGCATCTCCCATTGTGTCCATATTGGACTGAAACAGGGCATGCCCCATCGCCTCCCTAGTGCAGCTGCACTGCTTGGAGCAGAGCCCAACACGTTAACACCCCTCCGTTCGATGTGTGTAGCTTCTAGCCAATATTGGGCCTAGACAGCTCTGCATCCGTCGCCGAATGCCATGGCAACAGATCGCGCTGTCGAAGGCCGACCACGTCCAATCCGCCATCGCCAACATTGCTGCACCTCATCTACCAACCCCACATGCCACCTCCGCATGCGACGGTCGCCGTGCATCTCCAAACAGGCGCACCACAATTGCCTGCCTCCCCTACCCTCCGCTTTTGTGAGACGGTGCCGCCAACGCCGCCAGAGCAAGCGGTGGCAGCGGCCAGGGGAATTGGCCTAAGGGGGAACTAGGCTAGGGTTTTGGAGGGCCTCCGAAGTCGTCGTGCGGATGCGACCCGGGAGGCAGTTTTTCCGTGTCGGGGAATCCCTTCAACAGGATCGCATATATATAAGCATTTTTCACGACAGCATCGTCCTCGCGGGCGACCGGTCGCGCCTCCCCCATCCCTCCCAGGGAGCGTCCCCCTCTCCTCCTCCTCCCCGCCACCGTCACCGATGCTCATCGCGGGCCTAGCCCGGGCGACGCTGGCGGCGGCGGCCCCTCGGCCCTTCCCCTCCCGGGGTCCTCCGACGCGGGACGGGGCGACTCCGGGCGGTGCACTCAGGCGGCGGCGGTCCTGCGCGGGCGGGGGCGAGCTCTAGGCGTCATCATCGTTGTTGGCGATGGGGCAGCGCGGTGCGCGGGCTGGCGGCGCCTGCCCGCCCAGATCTAGGCCCTTCGGGCCCCATCTGGGTCGGGGCGGGCCGACGTCGGGCATGACGGCTGCGGGGCTCTCGGGCGATGGTGGCAAGGTGTCCGACTGGTGGCGGGTGGCGGCTTTGGCTGCCGGGGTGCAGCAGCGCCGTGGCTAGGGCTTTGCGGTCCCGTTATGGGACCGGCCAGGCCCGGGTGGCCTGGTTTGCTCTAGCTGCGGCGTCCGGTCGGCAATCCGCGTCGGTGTGGGAGGCAGAGGACTCCGGCGCGATGGCGGTGGAGGCGGTTCCCTCCCGTTCGGCTCCGGTGCTTCCGTCTGTGCCATCTAGGCGCATCTTGCCTCTGCTCGCTTGTCCTCGTGGTGGTGTTCGCAGCAAGACGGTGTGGATGGGTCCAAGACCGTGGTGGCGCGTGCTGGCGGGTGGTAAGATGGTGGTTTGGCTCCGTTCTAGTGGGTGCCGGGGCATGGGGGTGCGGGAGAAATTCCTGCCGGTTCTTCCGGCTCCGACGTGGTGACGTCGGTGGGTGCTGCCATTCCTTCTTAAAGGGCGTCGGTGCTATCCATCCCCCGTTCCCCTTCTGCGTGCCGGGGGAAACCCTAGGACTTGTCTGGTCAGCAGCGTCGTGGGCATCACATTCCTTCTTGGAGGTGTTGTTTGGTACGCGGAGGCCCGGTGCCATGGCGAGTGGTGGGACGTAGATGGAGGGCGCAGCGGTGGCGGACTATTCATGCTTGTCGAGCTGCCGTTGTTGGCATTTTTTTTAGAAAAGGAGGATGATCCCCGGCCTCTGCATCTAGGCGATGCATACGGCCACTTTATTAATTATTCTCACAAGACCTTATAAAGTCATACAACAGTAAGACTAAAGCCGTCGTCTAAGCAACACACTGTCGCTACACCTATCCAGTTGATGAAGGGGCGCATATAGCCCGGGCTTAATACCAAACAGACATCGCAGTCAAACCTAAACATCTAAGACTTGAGGTCCCAACCAGGATGCCTGCCGGGTATGGGGAGCCTACCAGTCCGGCGAACTCCTCAACCAGGACGCATGCCGGGTATGAGGCCGTCGCAGCCACCTGCCACCAATCCATCTTCAGAGCTGTATTGTTGCATCAACTGTGCCAGGTTTCTCTGCCATTGATGCCACCATGACGCCAGGCAGCGTCGTCCTCCTGCGCGAGACCATCCTCGCACATCGAACTCCAAATCTGCACTGCGCCACGCTGTCGAGATCCATTGCCATCAATGTGTAGGATGAAGCACCGCTCCACCAAAGATGTCATCCGCTGGTCCCGCGAAGCCGAGTGCACCTCCAAGAATGCCGCCCCAAGGGAGTGACGACACATGCTTGCCGCCAACATCTGATCAGCTGATCTAGGGTTTCCCCCGGAGGTATTGAGTGGAGTTGGAAACTTCACCTCGATGATGCCTTCATGAAGGAAACGATGATAAGGACATCATCATCATCGGTTTCGGCCATCGACCGAAAACCAGGTTTTCATCCGGATCCGTCCCAAGAAATCCACCCGACAATATGTGCACCGTCTCGACCGCCTTCAAAGCCCCAGATCCAGCCGCCTAGATCCGGTGACCACACGCAGCAATAGTGCCACCGTAGGAGCCCTAGCGCACCGGTCACAGCCTAAGTGTGCCACCACTAGAGCCTAGGAGGAGGGCTCCCACCCAGCCTCACCAAGCCGTGAGAGCTGCCGAGATGGATCCCGCGCGCTCGTCACCATCTCTGATCCGAACCAATCCAATGCAGATCACCGTCACAGATCCGCCTTAGACAGGGACTGCACCACGCCATGCCGCCGCGGGAAGCACTAGCTTCACGAGCTGCCACCCTCCAGGGCCGCCGCCCCGGGATCCAGGCAGAACATCGCCGCTGCCACTGGCCATGTTCCGCCGGCGCCGACCGGCCAAGCCGCCGGCCACCGCGACCACGCCGCCATGACCAAGCGTGCCTGCCGAGCAGCCGGCACCACCAGATCTTCCACGAAGCCCACCGCTCCGCCACCTCCTCCCATCACCACACCGCCAAAGCGCCGCCGGCGGTCAGATCGGCCGCGCCGCCGCGACGACGGCTTAGATCGGGGAGGAGGGCCCCTGCGCCCGGGGTCACCTGCCTCACCCAATGGAACGCGGGAGGGAAGGGGGCCTCCGCCACCGCTGTTAGCCGCCCGGGGCTTCGCCCGGCGGCCTCCTCCAACAGTGGTGGAGGGGAGGGGAGGGAGGGGTTGGGAGCCCGACGATGGAGGGGCTAGGGTTTCGCCCGAGCCGCCCTAGCGGGGGGCGACACGGGGGACAGCTCGTGATGCTGGCAATTCATTCCATCTGCAACTGGCATGCTTTTATCTTAAAATGGGGGATAATTTTACTTCCCCGGCCTCTGCACCAACTAGGGATACATATGGCCATTTTAGTATGAGTACCAAGATAAACATGGTCCTCAGAATTTTTTAAATGAGTATTAAGATATTTTTTGATGAGTGGTTCCGCCACACATCAAACTTGATCCTCAATAAATGGGGGAAAACCCATGTGCATCACCTGTCAATTCTAGGAATTGAACTCGGGTCGTTAAGCTGCACAACCGCATGCCCAACCACTGAGCCAAGGCCGTTGTTGGGCCGTTCGCCCGGGCAGTTACTTGTGATCGATGTTCGTGCTTTATAATATAAAGCGGGGGAAACCCTATTTCGTATATATAAGCATTTTATGTAGACGACAAAAGATTATACTCCTGCACACACAGCCGTTGTTTGTCGTACGAATGAGTCATACCGCTTTAAAACAAAATGAGCAACAAATTGAATATAGAACATTCAACACTTTGCCTAAAAAAACATTCAACGCCTCCGAAGACATTACAGATCGCTATGGATATGAACAGTTTAAAAAACTGTTTTGCCGCTGTGATATTTTAATCAAGTTTGCACGAGCTCTCATGACTTGTTAGGCATGGCGGTGTAGATGGTCTGCACCAGGGTGGCGGTGAGTAGAATGGCAGCGGCTGCGAGGGAGACGAATGCCCAGGGGTTTCTGAAGTGGGTACGCACTAGGGTGGCCCGCCACTTGTGCCACGGCTTCCCACAGTAGAAATTCATGTTGTACTGAACTTTGTGGAGACCATAGCACCGGCCTAGAAGTTGCCCTCTGGACAGAGTACCGTTGAACAGCTTCGCCGTCTTCTCGTTGCAGCCTATCATATTCACGAGGACTCCACTGGAGCTCAACATCGCCACGTCCTTGGCCGAGACGATCATGTGGTCCATGCAGATCACATAGCCCGTCACGAGGTCGCCAGCGCCGACATGCAGCCTCTCGAACGCCATCAGGTTGAGGTACAGGCTCTCTGTACCGTCGTCCACCCTCATCACTGGCATAGTCAACACTCCGTGCTCGAAGTGAATGTCCCGCAGGTTGCCCCTCTCGCTCTTCCTGAATTTGATACCAGCCTCGTGGATTTCTAACGTTGAGGGCATCATTTCATACTTGTACTCCCGCGATTTTTTGTAATCTCCATGCGCGCCGTAATTGTAGGTGAGGCTTCCATGATAAAGTTCGAGGGGGTGGAGCCTCAGAAACACGCTGGAAATGTCACGGCCTTCATCTGCCCGGCCTAGAAAACTCAGCACCATGAGGTTTATATCTATATCCATTGCAACCCCCTACAACCATCAAATTGGCGGATCAGCATGTGGGCCACATCAGAAAGAAAAACAATAACAATTCTCTCTAGTTATATGGAAATTATAGGATAAAGTCGTAAGAAAGTTATAGGATAAAAATTCATGTGTAAAGGTGCTTGCCATGATGTCACGACCTTCATGCAGCGCCCGACGTAGACATTCCAGCACCACACCATTCCGAAAATCTTGCTCTGGACCATGGTTCGCCTGCACCTATGGTTACACCACACATTTTTGAACACAAACATTGCGATGAGTAAGCCCTATATAGTGCTCCACGAAGGACTGAGATTGTTAGAAAAGATTAATACTTATAATTCTCTAATCAGCCTACTGACTTATTATTCCTAGGAATTAAAATAGCAATGCTTGCCACCTAACATCTCTCGACCGGCGCACAGTGTGGGCTCCACGGGATGCATGCATTAGAAAACATAATGTTTTGGTATGTATAAAATTTCTACCTCTGTGTTGGTTTATTAATTATGCTCGTATTTCTGGTCACATTTTGATCATGATTTTAACTAATAAAATATAAGTTACACATAGCAAAATAATATCATCGGAAACTATGTTAAAGTACGAGTTCAATGATACAATGTTTTGTGACATGGATTTAGATTTTATTAGTTAAATATATGATCAAAATTTGTCACAAAATACAACGAGGACCAATAAACCAGGACGAAGATAGTTCTATAATGTTGTGTCTATATTATTTGTGAAATTGACATATCATAGACTAATTCCTTGTAAAATTAATCTGAACTCTTGGTATGGATTGCCTTAGCACTATAGGATGGATATAAATTTATTACTAGAAACTAATGGAACAGATATGTGGTATTGAAGTGGAGTACCGGACTGTTATTAGGACGCACAACACCCAGGATCTTCTTGAGAACAAGCAGAGGCAGCTGGTTCTCAATCAGTAGCATGTCAGACCGGAGAATGGGGTCTATTTGTTCTCTGCCACTCCTGCTGAAGACGGGATCATGCAGCTTGTAATCCTGGAAAGGTGCACTAATAATCTCCAGAAGGAAGCAGCCGTCCGTGAGCATCAGGTCGACAAAGCTCCGTCTGTTGTTCCGCCACTTCATATGGAGATCCTTGCCGTATGCTGCCTCGAGCTCCTCTGCCACGTCGCCGATGGCAGAGATGAAATCCTGGAGCGGCTTCTGGCTCCGCTTAATCAGGTGCACTAACGCGCGTCCCTTGTGCTCCTCCATGGCCCGCAGATTGGAGTCGCCGTGGTGGAAGGGCCCCAAAGACACTAGCCGCGGCCGGTAGGCTTTGGTGTTGGTGCCCTTGAGCCACTGTGGTACCCGGTAGATGGATTGCGCCTCCCATCGCTTTTCCTCCATCCTCCTGGAGTAAGGATCGTCGTCTGCCAGCATCTTCTCCATGTCCACCACCCAGCTGGAGGTATGCCGCTCCTCGCCGCCCATTCGGTTCTCTTCTTCTGTTGTCATCTGATTGACTCGTCGTCTGTCTTCCTTCTATACATACACAGAACGGCAATGAAAAAGCACACTCTTCAGTGTGAATTAATCAGTCGCGCATCCATGTAACTACCCCTGGTCCTGTGAGAGTGCAGCTGCGCAAGGAGACCGCGAGGTAGAGAAAATAATTCAGAGAAAAAGTATTAAGGTCAGAGAGAGAGCATTTCTCTGTTCAGAGGAAGAGGAATAATTACAGCATGGCAATTGTGGGATAATTTTACTATTCAGTTTTAGTGTCCAAGACACTGCTATAGACCAACACGTAGCTAGCTAGGTAACTAACTATGGGAAGTTGTTAGCAAACTGATAGCAAACATGCAGACATATGAAGCCTCCATGATCGACAAACCAGAGCAGATAGGTGTTGAAAGAGAAGATTGATGGCAATTACCTGGCTGGACACCCAAGCCCTGCTGCCGCGTAGCTAGTCTTCTGAAGCAGTATGAGGGTGAGGAGGGGAGGAGAGGTGATCAGAGAAATGATGTGAGATGTGAGATCCAGATCTGTACTCAGATACGACTACTTTTCCATAAGCTGGTGCACATAGTTTAAACCCAAGTGCACGTTGACCGATCTACACATTGCGGTCGCAATATTTAGCATATCCATATGTTGATGATTATATTGGTTGATAAACGGGCGATGTCCCTTGGGCACCACTAAAATCTACGTACACTTGCAGAATCGTATTACTCCTTCCCTGAACTGCGTGTGATAAAGTCATCACACACGTTACGAAAAATGAACCGTGTGCCAAAATGAAACATTTGTATCTCTAATCCATCCTGCACGATTGAGATAAGACAGTCATATGTGTTACATCGCACACAATTCGAATGACTAAATTGTTGAGGATATAACACCACAATATGACCCGCCATGATGGGCCGGGTCATTCAAGTGGCGACTTAGATTCAAGATTGGACGGAATGTTTGGGGGCAGATTCTATTTAGCGCTGCAGGCGCCGGTTTCTTCAGTTTCTGCAAACCGGCGCCTGCAGGCGCGGTAGCTGGGCTTGGCCTATTTGTATTTTTTTTCTACCATTTATAAAACGTTCAAAAAAATGCAGCCACCAGACGTTGAACCCACACCCAGCTCCTTCAAGGCAATCAAGCGTAATCACTAGGACAACGAAGGACTTGTTCTCTCTAAGCTTTTTTCTATTTTACTCTTCAATCGGGGATCCCCTAGTTTGGGAAGCTTCTAGAAGCTTCCCAAAAACGGGTTTTCACTGATTCGCTGGTCATTTTCAGGACGGTTTTATTTGAGTTTTCTTTTCTTTTCCTTTTTATAAACTTTTTGTTTAAAAACAACGATGAACTTTTTCTCAAATTCCATGAACTTTTTTCGAAAACGATGAATTTTTTTTCAAAAATGATGAACTTTTTTCAAATTTGATGAACTTTTTTTAAATGCAATGAACTTTTTTTAAATTTTGATGAACTTTTTTTCCAATTTTAATGATTTTTTGGAAAATCAATGAACTTTTTTCAAAGTCAATGAACCTTTTTCAAATTTGATGAACTTTTAAAAAAAATTGATGAACTCTTTTGAAATTTGGATGAACCTTCTTCAAACACCGTGAACCTTTTTGAATTATCGATTTTTTCAATCTTTTGTAAAAAAATATTCTTTTTTTAAGTCAACCGTGACCATTCGAACAGTGCTAGAGCGAACGGGCGACCAGGCAGCGCGCGAGTCGAGCGCCCTCGGAGCAGGCGAGCGCCCAGCTCTTGTAAATGGGCCGGCCCAAAAACAAGCTGCTGCGGGCGCCAGTTCTGGATCAGGCGCATACATCGCCGATTAGGATCCTATTTAGCGCTGCAGGCGCCGGTTTCTTCAGTTTCTGCAAACCGGCGCCTGCAGGCGTGGTAGCTGGGCTCGGCCCATTTGTGTTTTTTTCTACCATTTATAAATGGTTCAAAAAGATGCAGCCGCCACACGTCGAACCCACACCCAGCTCCTTTAAGGCAATCAAGCGTAACCACTAGGACAACGAAGGACTTGTTCTCTCTAAGCTTTTTTCTATTTTACTCTTCAATCGGGGATCCCCTAGTTTGGGAAACTTCTAGAGCTTCCCAAAAACGGGTTTTCACAGATTCGCTGGTCATTTTCAGGACGGTTTTATTTGAGTTTTCTTTTCTTTTCTGTAAGGACATATTTACCCCTAAGTGTTTTGGTGATTGATGACAACGCATTTGCGGACTAATCGTGTGCCATGAGTTTTCCAGACTCTTCTCTGCTAGGCACAAGACGATTGGGTGCCCCTCAAAGACTGACGAAGACGGCGTCTTTTCTACGTTTCCTTTTGGTGGATTTGAGTCGTAGGAAAGCCGTACTATTAAGAGGGGGTCCGCGTTGGAAAGGTTTTGGTGAAATCATCACGTACACGTCTCCTTTTATCCCCTCCTTCTTTCTTGGAGCTTCCTCCATTTTTCCTGCCTCCTTTGACTGGCTGCTATTGTGGTTGCGGTAGTACTGCTCCTGGATCAACGGTAGTACCATGGGCATCCACGGTAGTACCGCGCGGTGGCGCGGTAGTACCGCTGGTGCTCACGGTAGTACCGCTCCCCTGGAGCCGCACTACCGCTGCCCACCAGGCTAGTGCCGCCCCTTTGCGGTAGTAGGAGCGGATGTAATTTTTTACATCCGCACCTGCCGCGGTAGTACCGCTTTCATCGTGCGGTAGTACCGTGCTATGCGGTCAGGCAGTAGTACCGCCCCTCGGCAGTACTACTGTGTCGAGTTTTTGCTACTTCCGTTTTTTGCGGAAGTAGGCACGGAAGTTCCCCTTCCCCTTAGACGGGACTTTTGCCTTACGGTAGTACCGCATTGGGGGCGTGGTAGTATCGTGTGTGCGGAAGTACCGCCCCCAGCTTGCGTCTGTTTCCCTGACTGGGGTCGCGGCAGTACCGTGGGACGGTACGGTAGTACCGCACTGTCGTGCGGTAGTACCGCTTGGTTGCAAGCAGTAGTACCGCGCGGCCTTGCGGTAGTACCGCTGGCCAGGCGCGGTAGTACTGCTGGCCGCGGGCTGGTTGGTGGGTAACGGTTGGATCTTTTCCACACACTATATAAAGGGTCTCCTTCTTCCCCATTGACTCACCTCTTCCACCATTAAATCTCCATTATTGCTCCAAACTCCATTTTCGCCCGATCTCACTCCCTAGCCAACCAAACTCGTTGATTTGCTCGGGAGTGGTTGAGAAGGCCCCAATCTACACTTCCACCAAGAGATATTTGATTCCCCCTACCAATCCCTTGCGGATCTTGTTACTCTTGGGTGTTTGAGCATCCTAGACGGTTGAGGTCACCGCGAAGCCATAGTCCATTGTGGTGAAGCTTCGTGGTGTCGTTGGGAGCCTCCAATTGAGTTGTGGAGATTGCCCCAACCTCGTTTGTAAAGGTTCGGTCGCCGCCTCCAAGGGCATCAATAGTGGAATCACGGCATCTCGCATTGTGTGAGGGCGTGAGGGGATTACGGTGGCCCTAGTGGCTTCTTGGGGAGCATTGTGCCTCCACACCGCTCCAACGGAGACGTACTTGCTCTCAAAGGGAAGGAACTTCGGCAACACATCCTCGTCTCCACCGTCTCCACTCTTGGTTATCTCATGCCTTTACTTGTGTAGCTTATTTGTTTCATATATCTTGCTTGCTTGTGTTCCTATTCGTGTTGCATCATATAGGTTGCTCATCTAGTTACATATCTAGACAACCTACTTTGATGCAAAGTTTAAATTGCTAAAGAAAAGCTAAAAATTGTTAGTTCCCCCCCCCTCTAGTCAACCATATCGATCCTTTCAATTGGTATCAGAGCCTCGTCTCTTTATTAAGGACTTTACCATCCAAAGAGTATGGTTGATACCGTAGACGGTGCAGAGGAACACTCCGGTGTGAGTCCTATCTCGTCTACGGGCGATGGGGGAACTTCGGTGTCTCGTGAGGAGTTCAATGTGGCCTTGGAGACATTGAAAACTTCCATGACGACCGAAGTTGAAAGTATGTTTACTAAATTTCTTGAGGGGCTTAAACTATCCACCGCACCGTTGAAAGTGGGTGATCCCACCATCAAGGTGTCGGATGCTATCCCCGACAAGGGGGAAGCTAGTAGTGAAAAGGCTCCTTCTTCTAGTGGCAAGAATGGCACCGGCATCTTTGCCCATGTGTAACCACCACTTGTTTATGGTGGACCGGTTCCTTCCACTCATTTGAATCATGCCGGTCCTCCCCCTAAGATTGTGAAAAATGAGGATTTTGATTCTTGGGTTTACCGCTTTAAACGTCATTTAAATCATGTGAACACTAACCTTTGGAGAATCATTGAAGAAGGTTTCTATCCACATGATCCAAGCAACTTCACTCCTCGAGAAGCCGCGGACAATCAATTCAGTGAGAATGCTCTCTTCATCATTCAAGATGCAATTCCACCCGAAGACCTACCTCATCTTCGTCCCTTCGCCTTGGCCAAAGATGCATGGCATTGTGTCGTGTCTCTCTACCGGGGAAGCGCAAGCATTCAACGCTCCAACTATGAAGTGGTACAAGATGAGGCCGATGAGTTTGCAATGAAGGAAGATGAAGAACCTCGTGAGCTTTATCGGAGAGTAACCAAACTCGCGGTCTCACTACGAGATCACGGGAGCAAGGACACGGATGACAATTGGATCAAGCGCAAATTCCTCAAGGCAATGATGCCCTACCACAAGGCCATGTCTTCCGTCATTCGTCAAAGACCGGACTTCCACACTTTGACCTCAAGCGAAGTGTTGGATGAGTTTGTGGCCATGAACATTTTAGACAAGACCGCCGACAATGCGGTGCTCCGTTCTCAACGGGCAAAGAAGCCTAACCTTGCATTGAAGGCCAAGCTCACCGTGGAAGAAGAAGAAGAGGAAGAAGAGGAGAGCAACCCCGAAGATACGAAGTATGCATATCATGAACACAT